ACCTGAACTCAGGGTTCAAGGGATTGACTGATTACAGTAAAAGCTGTGCCCTCTGAACCTGGCTGCAGCCACATAAAACTGTTTCCTGCTATCTTTGGTGCCTTGCCTCGTCTGTCACTACAACAGCTTCATCCAACATTATAGATGAATCCAAGTTGACTCCTCCCTCACCGTAAATTAACTGTCATTGATGGGTTGGTTTGTTTCTTCCAGACTTTTAATACATACCCACATAAAGTATTGTTTTCTCATTAGTGTCAGGATATCATCTGTAATTTTCTATAATTTGTTTTATTTACTGATGATTCACAGACTTCACATCAGTACTTGCCTTATCCCACTGTTGCTAATAGCACAATACCAGTGATTGGGTAAGTCATAAGGAAAAGAGATTCATTTTGATTCAAAGTTCTGAATCAAGGACAAGGAGCCTCATCTGGTGAAGGTCTTCTTGTTGGCAGAGTTCCCGGGTACGGCACAGTGAGAAACAGGGAGAGCATGTGCCATTCTGCTCTCTCTCCCTCTTCTTAATAAGCCACTGTATGTATTCAGCAATGAGGGTCTCACCCTGCTGACTTCATCTAACGCTAATTGTTTTTCAAAGGTCTCACTTCTGAACACCCTTGTAATCTTTTTTTTTTTTCAATTTTATTTTTTTAGTTGTTGATGGAACTTTATTTTATTTATTTATTTTTATGAGGCACTGAGAATTGAACCCAGTGCCTCACCCATGGTAGGCAAGCGCTCCACCACTGAGCCACAAACCCAGCTCCAGCTCTGTCCTCATTATTGGATTAGCATTGGGGACAAGGACCAAGCTTTTGGTAACACTGGGGATTGAACTCAGGGCCTTGTTCAGCTAGGCAAGCACTCTACCACTGAGACACATCCCCAGCCCAGCCCTTTATATATTTTTTTATTTTATTTTTTTGCTTTTTTGAGACAGGGTCTCAAAAATATCTTACATGAGTTTTGGAGAGAGTTTTGGAGAGAACAAGCCATATTCAAACCATCATGATGTTTATAGAACTACTTCTTTTTAAAATTAATGTTATTAGTAACTTATTTTCTTTTTTTGTGGCACTGGGGATTGATCCCAGTGTTCTCTGCTAGGGTAATGCTCTACTACTGATCTCTATCGGAGCCACATCCCCAGCCCTATTTTGTATTTTATTTAGAGACAGGGTCTCACTGAGTTGCTTAGCACCTCACCATTGCTGAGATTGGCTTTGAACTTGAGATCCTCTTGCCTCAGCCTCCCAAGCTGCTGGAATTACAGGCATGTCCCACCAGCCCTTTTCATTTTTGAAAATATT